TTTGCCCTCAGAGCTGTTTTAGCAAAATTGGTGTGACAAGTGAAGGGTTGTCCTTTGCAACTGAAAAGGGAGCAAGTGACAGCAGCAAAATCTGTTCACTCTTATCTCCTTCCTCTCAAAGGTTTTCTGCATAATTGCAAGTAGATAAAACCTTATCTTTCCACCTTCGAGTTCCCCTTCTGAGGCTTTATATATGCATTGCTGATACAGGCATTGGGAAAACTGACCTTAACCGCGGAACCTAACACTCTGAGTCCGCGCAGCAGCGGGGCTGGCCTGTGGGGGTCCAGGAGTGGGAGCGGGCGGAAGCGTGGCCGCCACACTTCCGGTGGCCGGCCAGGAGCTCGCCACACTTCCTGTTGATCTGGCTTGGCCGGGGGCAGGGCAGGGCTGGGAGTAGGAGGGATCCGCGGGCGGGCGGCGGCCACTGGCGGGGCGTGTGCTCGTGCGGCTGCAGTGGGAGCGGAGCGTCGGCTGAGTCGCCTGAGCTCGGAGCGCCCTCGACTGTGGTGCCTCCCGCCCCACGTCACCCTCGGCCCCGCCGCGTCGCACCATGCCTGCCGTGGACAAGCTCCTGCTGGAGGAAGCGTTGCAGGACAGCCCCCAGGTACCTCCTGGGCTCGGGCCCCAGACCTGGGGTTGAGCCCCGGGACCCAGGCGCGAGTGCCCAGCGCCCCTTGGGAGGGGGCGGACCGGACCCCGCGTCCCCAGCCGGAGTCACCGTGTCAACCTCCTCTCCCCCCGCCCACTGCCCCGGACAGATACCTTAACCCTTTTGTGCCTTTGTGTTGTCCTCTGTCAAGTCGGGGTGATAACAACTGTGCGCGCCTCTTAGGGTCGTTAGGAGAATTAAAGAAGTATTAGCAGACGAGATCAGGTAGAGTCAGGCGTCGGTTGCTTTATTACTCCTGCTCCCGGTGTGAGGAGACCTGGTGGACCTGAGGGTCAGAATGGAAAGCGGAGAGCCTGGGTCCTTTTCCCGCAGCCCGGGCCTCTCTTTGGCACTGTTTTCCATTTGTAAAGAGAAAATTGCAACACCTGCCCCACTTGTGATACGGGGAACTTCATTAGCACCCTGGAGAGGTAGGTTAATTTGGGGTGAAAGCCGGTGTGTGAATCTAGCAGAGGAGTACAGAATGACGTTAGTTCATCATTCAGCACATTTTCCCCAGGGGATCTTGGGTTCTCTTTTGCTTAATATACTCGCCCCTCTCACCTCTTTTCTTGGTTCTGTACTCCTGGCTTATTTAAATAAGTGTCCTTATTCCCTAGAGTCTCAACTCTTGGTAAATTAGAGTAAGATTAAGCTGTTTCACAGTTTTCCCCCTCTTTTGGGGTCCCCTTTTTTCCTTTGAATGAATTCCACTTCCCAGGATGATTCTTCCATAGACTTAACCACTCGGCATGTTCCCTTTCAGGATAAGTCAGAAGGGTTCTGTGTGCCTTGTGTCCTGTCTTGTGCTTCTTTCTTTTTCTTTCTTTCCTTTTTTTTTTTTTCCTGGGAGGAGGGGGAGACTGGGGTTTGAACTCAGGGTTTTGAGCTTGCAAAGCAGGTGCTCTACCCCTTGAGCCACACTTCCAGCCCATTTTGTGCTGATTATTTTGGAGGTAGGGTCTCTGGAACTATTTGCTGGGTCTGGCCTCCAACCATGATCCTCCCAATCTCAGCCTCTTAAGTAGTAGGATTACAGGTGTGAGCCACTAGCACCCAGTTTGTGCTCATTTCTTTGTGATCCATGTTTAAGCAAGGAACTGTGAGCAAGCTAGGGTTTTATTTATTTTTTTGCAAACTGGCCTCCACCTAACTAACTTTTCAAAGGTCTCTTTATATGGCTCTAGACTTCTGGTGTTTTAATCAGGCCAAAGTTTGTGGTAGAAGTGATTTCACTCATCCTCACATCTGTTGTGTGGGATCTGAACATATTGTGAAATCCGTAACACTCATTAGTGACCAGGATTTCCATATGCTCTGTAGTTGGGGTACAGAGGTACAAAATACATTGCTTTCCTAGCCTAACCTGGTAATGTGCGAGCCAGGTGAAGAGGTTGTACTGACTCTCCGTGTTGTCCTCACTGAAGGTTTTGCATCTCACATAGATGAATAGACTCTATTCTGAGTGGCCTAAAGGATTTGTTCAGTGACAAGGGACGAGTAAGGAGACCAGCAAATGAATTAGGAGACCTCGGGTGCAGTTCTGGCTCTAACACTAACTTATCATGTGATTTGGGCAAGTCACTTAATCCCCATCCTGTGGCTGGCTCAGTTTTCTCATCTGCGGAATCTCTACAGAATGAGAGCCATGGAGCAGATTATCTTCAAGGTGCTTCAGGGAAGCTTTAAATTGAGCTTGTGCATGGAAAAAGTTTAGCGGCATTGTCATTCCTATTTAATGTTCCTTTTAACGGCAGACATTTATTTGTCATTTGTTGAGACTTGGCTGTCCCCTCCAGGGGTTCTCTATGTGGTTGCTGTACAGATTAGAAGCTGGCTTCAAGAAGGTCTTTAATAATCGGCAGAGCATGTTTCTCATTGCCTCCTGCAACTTTACTGCAAGCAGACCCATAGGTTTGGACCTGGAGTGAACCTAATCCGGTTCTTCCCTTGTATGTGAAAAAATAAAAACATTAGTAAATGCCTGCTTACATCATGCATTTTATGTGCCAGGCAGTGTTCTAAATGCTTTACATGTATTAAGTCACTTAATGTTCCCAAAAGTCTTGTAAGGTAGGTCCTTTATTAAAATGACCAAGGGGGAGAGAAGCTGAATGACTTGCCCACGATTATACACTCTAAGGTGACAGAGTCAGGATTGGATCCTAGGCAACATGTATGTAAGGGGGATAATTGCTTAAGTTAGCACAGTAGCCTAGCACCTGATTTTTCTGTCATTGGTGACCAAAATGTTTCAATAGAAGGAAAAGATCCTATGAAACGGTCTGTTTGTTTTCTCTAGTTTTATGTAAAAGAGCTATCAGAGTTGCTTAAGTAACCTGGTTGCACAGGACTAATTAAATGGACACAAAAGCTTTTGTATTTGAACTTGAGCGACCCAAGAAGAGCTGAATGGAAGTTGACCTTGAGCACAGCTATACACTTCCTCCCTTTAGTGTGCAGTGCTGCACGTCATTGTAGGACTTGCCTATGTGCGTGCACGTGTATGTTTTCTTCTTATCTCTGATACATGAGAAGCAGAGTGTTTTAGGGGTGTAGAGATTCCCGCCCCCCCTCCCCGCTGTTCGTGAACCTCTGCCCCTGGGCCCTGCTAGCTAGCTGCTGGGAATGTGACCAGAAACAAGATAAGCGGGTTTGCCCTTGACTGGCTCAGTCTGTTCCAGGGACAGGTAAGTAATGTAGCCATCCAGTGCAGTGTGAAGACCCCTAGGGTAGATAGGGACACAAATTCAGCTTTGAGCTCCAGCCACGCATCCTCCTTAGGGGCCTGTTCTCTTATCCTGTATGTTGTACACTTTTGAGATGAAGATGAAGCACTGTTGTTTGCTTTTTTGGGGTGTTTTGTTTTTTTCTTTGTTTCTTTCACAGTTAGCATAACGGGACCGGAGAAATGAAAAACTTAGTTCTGAGATGGAGCAGTGAGTGGCCCAGCTGGGAATAGCCCTCTTCAACCAAATCAGGCCTTCCTTTATGCAAGTGAGATGCCTCAAAACAATCTGGGAACCAGGTGCCAGTGACTCATGCCTGTAATCCTAGCTACTCAGGAGGAAGAGATAAGGAGGATCACGGTTCAAAGCCATCCTGGGCAAATAGTTCGTGAGACCCTATCTCAAAAAAAACCCTTCACAAGAAAAGGGCTGGCAAAATGTAGGCCCTGAGTTCGAGCCTCAGTACCACAAAAAAAAAAACATAACCTGGGTGGTTTTGTGTGACTTCATTGTGGAGGGGTTTTGTCCCATAGCTCTGTTTGTTTATAACACATTTTTCCTTTCACTTGACTTGGTTCTGCTAAATCATTTCTCTTCCTCTACCAAATTATGGGTTAAGAACTTCTTCTAATCTTAACTTAAAAATAATCAATGCTATTACTAGTTGGACCACTGCACAATGACATGCTATGGAGAGTGTGTAAGACTATTGATTGGGTAACCCCAGTTTGTTTAAGGTGAAAGAGTGACATGGAGTTGAGGCTCTATCCATAGAGTGCTTAGTGTTTTTTCTCTGGCCATGGATGGTCCTATGAGTGTGGGGTAGTAGAGAAATCATGGGATTCAAATCCTGAATTTGCCACTGTTACCTTTGACAGGTTATTTAACCTCTCTGAGCTTGTGTTTGGACGTGTGTGAGATGAGAATAAAAGTAGTTACTCAATTGAGTTGTTATGAAGAATAAATAACATATGTATAATAGCTCCATGCCTGCATGCCATAGTAACTCCATAAATGAGTGCTGCAGATGTTACACACCAGTGTCTTTTCTTTGTAGAATTTTGAGCAACTGGTGTGCTTTTATCTCCTTCCTTCTTTATGTCTTGGAATACTCTATTGGGGAAGTAGTATCAAAATTGTATGTTTTAAACTTATGTTTTAAGACAAAAAAGAAAGAAAGAAAGAACCCAAAACTCTCATGGTGTTCTCTGGCAGATGTCATAGATGAGAGGATGACAGTAGGATGATCAGAGAATCCACCTCCACTCAGCACTTGTCCTGGGCCTGCACCACAGAGCATGCTGGCTACTGAGACCCACCCTGCTAGTGAGGAGGCAGCCCCTGCAGTGGACCTGTGTTTACATCCTGGCCCTGCTGCTCCCCAGCAGTGGGAGGTGAAACAAGTATCTTACCTTTAGTGAGCCTCATAGCTGTAAAATGTGGTTAATGTAACTAGTATCTGCTTACAAAATTGTTAGATTAGATGAAGTGACAAATGTTTAGTGTCTAGCACAGTGTCTGGCACGTGAAGGTACAGGAGTGGTAGTTTACTTCCTTCTGCCACCTTTATGGAGGGCTTTTCATCCTACCACTCCCCTTCCAGTCTATTTTATTTGTAACAGTACTAAAAGCAATGAATAGGGTTCAGCAAATGGACATCAACATTATTTTAAAAATGAAGTAACTGTAATCCAGTTGTATCACTTCTCCTGCCCTGAAGCATGTTAATTATAAGAAAGATATTAAAATCATCATAAATGTTGATAGGATCCTTCTGCATTGAGCACCAGGAACACAGAAAGGTTCTCCACTGTCGATGATATTTCTAGGTAAGAGTGTGGTGTAGTGTTGAAATGGGGTCATATCCATAAGCACTTGCTGCCCTGTACATAAGAAGCAATCAAAGTTTATTATAATCTTCACAATCCACATCATTCCATCGCTGTGTGTTAGACATTGATAGGCACTTCACATGCATTCATTATCTCATTAACTCAGCAAATTAGTGTCAGAGCCCAAATGTGGACTCAGGACTGACTTGATCACCAGGTAACCCCGGATCCCTTGGCACTCTAAACCCCTGAAGAATGTGAAGTTGCTTCTCATCACCCTTGACTCTCAGTTCCAAGCACAGCATTTCAGCAGAGACTGCCTGAGGCCAGGGATGCAGGCACAGATGAACAGCTGTTGAAGGCCAGGCTACCTAGTGTGTGTTCTGAGAATTTAAAAAATTTTTTTAGTGGTTTTGGGGCTTGAACTCGGGGCTTGGTGCTTGCAAGGCAGGTGTTCTACGACTTGAGCCGTACCTTCAGTCCAGTTTTTAGCTCTGGTTATTTTGGAAGTGGGGTCTCATGAACTAGTTTCTCGGTCTGGCCTTGAACTGCAGTCTTCTGAATCTCAGCCTCCCAGGCAGCTAAGATTACAGGCATGACCCACTAGTGCCCAGCTCTGAGAACATTTTTAAACAGTAGTTTGTTTTTCTCATAAAAAGTATACTTTAAAGAGATGTCATATAGAATTCTAAATCAGCATTTTTACCTACTGGTTGTCATCCACTAGTGGATTATGAAATCCAGTGGTCACAATCATGGCTTTTGTATACAACTGGAGTAGAATAGAATAGGAAAAAGTGTGTATGCATTCTATTGATAAATATTGTTTGGCAAAAATTTTGTACAGGTTCTGGTGCAAAATGTATGTTATACTGTGGAGTTTAATTTTAGAAAGTTTGAAGAAGTAACACAAACTATACACTGTATGAGCTCTGTGGTCTTTTGTGCTCACTGAGAGCTGTTTAAAAATGGTTTTGTCATTGCCTTGAGGTTCTCCCTTGCTGAGGGTTAGTACCGAAGAGAGTCCATGGGTGATGGAGCGTGTGTTCTTAGCCTGGAAGACGCAGGCAAAGCAGGGTAACCACATGCTGCTGTGATGTGCGTGAGTTTGCAGAGCAAAGTCCAGGGTAGAGCTGATGGTAAGGGCTATGATCACAACGCCTATGTTTCTGCTCCAGTTTACTGGGGGTACTTGGGGCCCAGGGATGCTGGATGCAGCTGCAGATCAGGCCCTGAGGGGCAGGAGGCAGCATAACAGGGACTCTAGTCCCTGGGGTGGGGCAGCGCTATGGTGGCTCAGGCCCTATCAGGTGGGGCGCAATAGCAGTAAGGCCCTGGGATTGGCAGGATCCAGTGGCAACTCTTTTCTAACCTCTTAGCTAGAAAAAAATTTAAATTCATTTTCAGGAAATAATGAGCTATAATGAATTGCTCTTTGTAAGCATTTTAGTGTGACCTCATTAAGGATACTTCTGTAATTTATGCTTCATCCCTTGCCTGATGGGTTATTTTCTGAACCAGAGATCCCATTATTGCTAATGTAGTATTTAAAATTCCCACTGTCCAGGCACTTTCATGAAAGTCCCACAAGTAGATGTATTGCTCATGTGACTCCTTGACCTTGCCACATATTCATACACTATGCAGGATATCAATACGCCTTTAGTGCTTAGTGTGTGTCTGGTGCTATACACAGAAATGACAGGAAATACTTCCAGTGAATGCTATTGCTCAGCTGTTCTCAGAGCACCAAGTTGGCTATCTTCCTGAGAGAAGTGAGCTGACATTCTGGTTGCTGTTTGAGTTTTGTGTCCAGAACTTCTACCAGTGGGCGGTGGGATATGTGTGTGAAGTTCTTGGGCACAAGTTGGTTGGATAAAATATGACCCAGAAACCCCATAAAAATTGACTATACTATGTTAAAAGGAAAGGATGACACATTCTGCATGACTGCCATGATTACAGAGAAGCAGGCAGCTGATCAGAACAGAATGATTGCATGCCAGCAGTGCTAGTAACCACACCCAGTGCACAGACCTGTCTGGCCTTGGATTCCCTTTATAGATTTGAAAGCAGAGGCCAGCCTTTTGAACAATTTTTTTTTTTTTTTTACTGGATGGCCTTTACTGGTACAAAGGTTGTTGAAGTCAGGGCATATGATGGCCGTTCAGTTCTTAATCTTTTTTTTTTTCCTCTCCATGCTGGTGATCAAACATGCTCTACCACTGGGTCACATCGCCAGCCCCAGTCTTTTGGGGGGGCATTTGAACTCAGAGCCTCATACTTCTCATGCTAGCTAGGTAGATGGTCAACTGCTTAAGCCATGTCTCCAGCCCTTTAAAGCTATTTTTTTTTCCTGGGGTTTGAACTTGGGGCCTTGCACTTGCTAGGCAGGTAATCTATCACTTGAGCCACCTGCCACCCAGCTCCATTCTTTTTTTTGGCACTGGGGCTTGAACTCAGAATCTACACCTTAAGCCACTCCACCAGCCCTTTTTTGTGATGGATGATAGATTTTTTTTTTTTAAAGATAGGGTGTTGCGAACTATTTGCCGAGGCTGGCTTTGAAACTACTGAGTAGCTAGGATTACAGGTATGAGCCACCGACGGCTGGCTCCCATTCTTAATCTTTTAAAAATTGACTTTTCTTCTCTGACCCTGATCCATTACACTCATCTTGCCCCTGCACTGTAGTGAAAGGGAGTTCTCAGTTCCAGTTCCAGTTCCAGGAATCACCGCATACTGGTATCATAGACGAAAGAGTAAACCTGAGAACCTCCAAGCCCCTTCCCTTTCCATTCCAGTTTGTGTGTGTGACTTCAACACCAAGGATTAGGACTAACCCCTTTTCTTTTCCTGCAGACCCGCTCCTTACTGAGTGTGTTTGAGGAGGATGCTGGCACTCTCACGGACTACACCAATCAGCTGCTGCAGGCCATGCAGCGTGTGTATGGAGCACAGGTACACCACTGCCCCTGCTCTCAGAGAATGGGAGACTGGAGTCAGGAGAAACCTCACTTAAAAATTTGAAATAAAATCAGAATTGTCTTTATCACTTCCCTTCTCCTCAAAAACTAAGGATAATTTTTGTTGTTTTGCAAAGAGTAATTTTCCTATAACGAGAACCAGTAGAGAGGGACCACATAGCTGCTTTTATTTTTTATTTTTTAATTCAACCTCAAAGGGAAACATTAGAGTCTCCTCTTTCCACTGTGAGTGGATTTAGTATCTTTTTTTGTGGGGGGGGTTCAGGGGTACAGGGGTTTGAACTCAGGGCCTTCACCTTGGGGCACTCCACCAGCCCAGTTTTTTGTGATGGGTTTTTCGAGATAGGGTCTGTTAAACTATTTGCCCAGGTTGGCTTTGAACTGCAATCCTCCTGATCGCTGCCTCCTGAGTAGCTAGGATTACAGGAGTGAGCCACCAGTGCCCGGCAGATTAGTGTCTTGAGAACTGCTCTTTGTCTTTGACATAAATGGGCAGTCTTGGATGTCAGTGTGGGAGGGTACAGATGTTTTTTCAAGGGCTTCCTGTGAAAAGACTGAGTCACAGTTCTGGAACTGTGGAGTGGCTTCTTTGTTTGAGGAACAAATATCTCCAGCTTGCAAACCCTTGGAAAATAAATTGCTGAGTAGCAAAGGCAAAGCTTTTTAAGACCAAGAAGTGCCATGTCTGTCATTTTCAAAGGGAATATTTATGAGTCACTTAAAAATAAATTATGTTACACACCAAAATATTATGGTACTAATATTGATAATTTTCACTATTGATTCCTTGCCAACTTTAACCTTTATGTGTTAGTTTCTTGTTCTCATTGATTTCTAAAGATTTAAGTACCATATTTAGTAGTACATAGTGCTCACTAATTATGTAGAGTCATTATCACAGAACTCTAATACTGATTATTGCTCACTGTCTTGTTAGTCAGCCATTCATCCATGGGAAGAAGTCTCAGTCCTTGCCATTGGGGAGCTTGCAGTTAGGGTTGGGAAACAGATGATTACCAGCAAGTGCTGGAGGAGGAGGGTCTCCTCACCCAGGGGAATTGCATTTGTGTGTTAGTCAGTTTTCTGTCACTGAGGCAAAATACCTTAGAAAATCAACTTAAAAGGAAGAATGGTTTATTTTGCTCACAGTTTCAGTTTTCAGTCCATGGTCACTTGACCATTGCCTTGGACCTGTGGTAAGACAGTATATTGTGGTAGTGAGGAGTGTGTTGTAGAGGACGGTGCCCACTTCTTGGTGGCCAGGAAAAAAAAGAGAGAGAGAAAGGGATAAGAGTCCCAATAACCCCCTTAAGCATGCCCCCAATGACCTAACTTCCTTCTACCAGGCTCCACTTCTTCAAGGTTCCATTACCTCCCAGTAGTGCAACTGGTGACTAGGCCTTTAGCATGTGGGCCTTTGGGGGCCATTTCAGATTCAAACCACAGTAACTGGACACCCAGAAAGAGGGTGGTTGTGAGTACTTCATTGCTTCTAGGCAGTTTCAGGGCCTTCTGGACAGGTTATTTCATTTAGATTCCCTAGCTACCTGTGAGGTGGGCGTTGTTGTTATTCTCACGACATTGATCAGGAGACTAAGGTCTTGGATAGTGAGTAACTTGCCCAGATCTACCCAGCTAATGCACGAGAGCAAGTGGGTTGAAGCTGCAGCTCAAACTCTTCACTTTACCCGTGGGGTGGAGGCCCACGGATAAACTAGGGTAAACTAGGGAAGAGGCAACAGAAATGGAATGAAGTGAATGGGTGTCGGAGGAATTGAGGCAGAGTGGCTATGGACTGGGTATGAAACAGTCAAGTGAGTGAAGGGTGAATCAAGAACAGTGGGAGAGAATGGGCAATGGGAACAGAGGCATGATTGGGTAGGAGAAATAACTCCTTACATTTTGCATCACAGTAGGAAAACTGTTTGAAAACAATTAATTTAATATTTCAAAATAGCTAGTAGAGAAATTTTTGCATGCTCCCAACACAAAGTAATGATAAATGTCTGAAGTGATGAGTATTTATGAGGTGATGAGATCAAGGCCACTTACCTTGATCTGATCATTATACATTATACACATGTATTGAAATGTCACAGTGTTCCCCATAAATGTGTGCTATGTGTCAATTAAAAATAAAAACAGTTTTAAAGGGGAAGAGTGACACCTAGGCCTTTGACTTGAACAACTGGGCGGGTAGATGATAGAACATGGGAAGAGGAGCAGGGCATGTGTGCCCATGTAAGTGTGCACAAGCATATGGATGTATGTATTTGGCAGGATTGCCCTACATAATTCATTCGCTCTCTCTCTGGTGACATTGAGGATTGAACTCAGGGCCTTGGTTTCTTAGGCAGGCGCTCTACCACTCGAGCCACATCTCAAGTCCTTTTGTTTTTTTAGTTTTTCAGATGGGGTCTTGTGTTATTGCCCAGGTGACCTTGGACCGTAGTACTCCTCCCCCCTCCTCCCGAGTAACGGGGATTATAGGCATGCACCCCATGCATAATACTGGTCATAATTCTCTCTTGAAACCAAGTTTCAAGGTGTCCATAGGTCATCAAAGTGAGGAGAGCGCTCCTGTTGAAAGTTGATCGAAGAGTTCAGGGGTAGAGATCTAAACAAACTGCAGTGTTGTGCAGTTTGTTTAGATCTTACTAATTAGAAGCAGTTTTAATTTCCAAAAGAATTGTATGTTCATTTGTGATTTTGCTTGCAGGTTTATTAAGATGTTCAGAATTTGGGAACATGAGTACTTTATCAGTTTTCAGTTTGAAGCTCTGATTATTTGTATTGTATGCTTTTGTATTTTTTTCCTAAAAATTCCAAATTTAAGAAAATAGACACTTTTGACTGGATGTGTATATGAATTTGCTTGCTTCTCTGTAATTTCATAGTTGTCATTAAGTGATTTGGCTTCTATTTTGAAAGCTTGAAAACCCCAAGACTTAAAGGACTGTGTGTCTGTTACTCCCTAGAGTTTCTGTTTTGCTTCCCTGTCTGTCAGAACCATTTAGTTGAAACACTCTCTTACACATTTTTTTTCCTTTGAGCCGATAAAATACATTTTGCCAAACTTAAGTAGGTCTTGCATTACAGGAGGCTGGGACCCGGCTTTAATTCACAGCACATGATCACCACGTGGATTCTTCTCTGGCCAGAAACTTCCTGCCTGGTGTTTGGCAGCAGAGGCTGTGAAACCGTTGGTCAGTGTGGTGCTGTGCGCTCAGCGACAGTCTGACAGTGCGTGACTTGCCGCATCCAGAGTGGTAGGGGCAGGGCCAGCTGGGCTTTGGGTCTATTTGAAAGCTTGCAGGTTGTGTTGTAATTCTTTTTAATTTAAAAAAGGCAATTTTTCTGAATCTTCTTTGACCCATTTGCTTTGATATATGTATATTTTTAAGATAGTAATGCTTCTTGCTGTTTTCATCCAACTCTTTTCCCTGAGTTGTGTTTTCTTGGTTTTATATCATGTTATTCCTTAAATACCTTATGCTTAGACATTCTAAATTACAGTTTTATAAGTTCATTTTAAAAAACAGGCACTTAAGCCGTTTGTGGTGGTACATGCCTGTAATCCCAGAACTCATGAGACTGAGGCAGGAGGATCAGTATAGTCTGGGCTACATAGTGAGTTCAAAGCCAACTGGGGCTACACAGTGAGACCCTGTCTCAATAAACAAAACAAAATAAAACAACAACAAAAAGCAGACACTTAGCAAGGCTTAATTTTTCATTATTATATTTTAAGAACCAGGTTTATGCTACAGAGAAATGTTTAGCAAAGGTATTTTAGTCAGGCTACATGGTGGATTTCTGGATTGTGATATTGTTGATGTCCTTCTGCCCTTAATTTTAGAAAGGAAAATCGAGAAAAATGGGATAATGTTCTGAGAGCAGTTTTCCTTATTGTGGTTGGTTCCAGGGGAATTTTAAGTTTGTTTATTTGGCCTAAGCTCTGGAGTGAAGCTGCTGGCTGTCAGTGATTTTCAGCATGGTCAGCAGCAGTCACTGGAGCCACATCTCCTCTCAGCTGTTACATATGCCTTTGCACACGGTGGGAACGAAGTCCTCCACTGTGGATCATTTGAAGGATGGAAGCTGTGGACATTTCAGTGCATTAACAAAGCAGAGACTGGTCACCTAGAAAGTGCCACTGTTTTTCAAATTACTGGCTAAATGAGTTTAAAACTTCACTGGTGTCTGAATAGGCAGACATAAGCAGTTCAGTTTGCACAAATTCTGCATTCAGTGCATTTGATACAATACTTGTTTTGAGTCTGCATATCTGCCATAATTTTGATTTTTCCTAAAAAGGTTTAACCTGTTTTTAATCTTTTAAAATAGATTTATTAGGCCTTTACAATGAAATTTGCTTCATACCTCTTCTCCTCACAGCTGTTGAGCTAAGAGATCAGGGCCAAGTGGATGAGGTTTCTGACCATGGGCAGGAAGGGTGGCTGCCCCTGGAGGAATAAAACCTAGCAATTCTTGTAACCTGTCTTTCCTCTCCAATGGATGACAAGCCTCTGGGGTTGTTGTCTTTCATCTGGATGGAATGTTTTGTTTTGTTTTGCTTTTTTTTTTTTTTTTTTGATGGTACTAGGGTTTGAACTCAGGGCTTCCCGCTTGCTAGGCAGGTGCTCTTCTGCTTGAACCATAGCTACACCCCTTTTTGCTCCAGTTATTTTGAAAATAGGGTCTTGCTTTTTGCCCAGGCCAACCCGGACTGTGATCCTTTTATTTCACACTTCCTGTGGTCACTGGGATGACAGATAGGTGTCACCACACCCAGCTTTTTCCCCATTGGGATGGTATCTCACAATTTTTTTTTTTTTTTTTTTTGGCCAAGCTAGCCTGGAACCAGGATCCTCCTGATCTCAGCCTCAGAAGTAGCTTGGATTACAGGCACGAGCCACCAGTGCCCAGCTAAGGTGGAATTTGTGAAGTGAGAACTGTGGTTAAGACTTGTTC